CCATGATCCCCTATTGCCCGGGGGCCCCATGAGTTGTCAGTCCGCCCCTGGCTATGTATTGCAATGACAATATAACCTATCCTCCAACTCCTCTGCAGGTTAAACTTTTGTAATGCCTCTTCCAATTATTCCTCTTCATTCCCATACTAAGTCCTGTTCTTTTGATATGCCGTGCATGCTCCCCTTTTTTAAGAAACTTCAAGAACCTTGAGACCTTGAAGAAGGGGACACACCCCGAAAGCTTGTCCTCAAAATAGTATGTTAGTGCAAATAAAAAAAATATCACGTCAGTACTCAATTGTTTCTGTCGCAAGTGCACTAATACGGCTACAATCACCTTAAGAAACTTCAGAAACTTTTGTGAACTTCAGAACCTTTACTTGAAATTTGATCAAATACAAAGCAGTATAAACGTTTCTCACAGATTCCTCTATACACAGCTCTAGTTAATCCTATCTTTAGGCTGCCCAGTGCATACCTCATAAACAAAGTAGAGCTCTTTCTGTACTGTCCATGATCTGTTATAGGTACCCCAGTTGCGTACCCACCAAGGGGAAGACCCTCAAGAGTAGAGTTAGACTCTACTTTATTAGGTACACCTTGCTAGTGCTAAGAAAATCTTCCCCACACCATTACACCTCCACCTCCAGCCTGAACCGTTGATACAAGGCAGGATGGATCCATGCTTTCATGTTGTTTACACCAAATTCTGACCCTACCATCTGAATGTCACAACAATCAGTCTGCCCATTCTCCTCTGACCTCTGACATCAACAAGGCATTTTCATCCACACAACTGCCACTCACTGGATATTTTCTCTTTTTCGGACCATTCTCTGTAAACCCTAGAGATGGTTGTACGTGAAAATTCCAGTAGATCAGCAGTTTCTGAAATACTCAAACCAGCCCGTCTGGCACAAACAACCATGCCACATTCAAAGTCACTTAAATCCCCTTTCTTCCCCATTCTGATGCTTGGTTTAAACTTCAGGAAGTCGTCTTCACCATGTCTAGATGCCTAAATGCATTGAGTTGCTGCCATGTGATTGGCTGATTAGCAATTTGTGTTACCAAGCATTTGAACAGGTGTACTTAATAAAGTGGCCGGTAACTCTATATGTGGCTGTAGTCCTCCTTTTACGGTCCCATGCAAGACCCAAAGCCCCAGCTAGGTTGCTTCCCCTTGTATTTATAACCTGCCACAAGGGGACAGAGCCGTGAACACCCGAGAGTCAGCAAATAACCCCCTCCTGACTTCCAGGCAGCCAAATAGACAAGACTTCCAATATATTTTAATCAATAAAACAGTGCAACAGCAACACATGAAGTAGAACATGGCAGGGTGTGTAGCCCCAAGTAGGCACTTGCTTACATGTTAATGACTGGCTTTTACCTGTCCTCCCTCTAGATTACCCCTGCCTGTGTATCCCTGCTACCTATGTTACCAACCTTGGCCTGGACTCTTGACCAAGATTTTGACTATCAATTCTGTACCTCGTTGCCTGCACATTGTTAACTTTTGCTCATCTCTGACCTTGATCCTGTTTATGATTTGGTGCCTTCCCTCTCAACTGTTACCGAACTTGGCTTGTGACCTGGCTTTACTCTTTATTGGTCGGGGTAAAGGCGAGGTTCCCTCATCGCTGTGCTTCTGCTTACCTTACACCAGTGCCCTCAAATTCAAGTCCAAGGTTCCAGCTGCCTGGCACCTGTGCTCTTCCATTGCCCCAGAATTGTGCAAGCAACCACCCTCATTATCTTGTGCAAGCAACCACCCTCGTTATCTTGTGCAAGCAACCACCCTCATTATCTTGAGCTTCTCATACAGGTTCATAAAAGTAGCAGTCAGAGGAAGCAGTGCCTTGAATGATCTCACACTGCAGACTCAAAGCATAGGAGTGCAGCAATATTTTTTCTGTAGTAATTCAAGACAAAAGGTAATTCTTACGAAGTGATGTTTAGGCACAATAAGCATTTCTAGATATTACCTATAATATAGCAAATCTTCCATTTCTGAGTTCACTTTAAGTGATTGAATATCTTTCTGGTGGCACAGTGACCTTCCTAATTTGTCAGTGTGTTACCAATACATTGTGTCAGCCAGCAGCGGCTGTGTAGGCAGCATTTAATCTTCTTATCAGTTGTTTGTTTGGTAGAGCTCAGTATTGCGGCTTATTCTGCTGGCTAAAGAATATTTTTGCCTCATTGCATAACTAGAGTTTTTTGTGTCCTGGGCTCAGATTAACAGCTGCCTACAAAAAAAACAAAAAACAGGCAATGCCTCATATTTATATTGTATACAGTTGCACCATTGCAAGCATCTATCCCAGGACAAGGGATATAATTACAACATAATATATGACTGCAATGACTGAAATCACCAGCTAAAACGTTTTCCTTTTTTCCACCCTATGTCCTATCCAGGGGCGGACTGACCATTTGGAAACTCGGGCACTGCCTGAGGGCCTGGGGTAAGTAGGGGGCCCCATGAGATGCCCCTGGTACCTTTTTCATAGGCTTTTCTGAGTTTTGGCAAGGACACAGGGGCCCCATGATCCCCTATTGCCCAGGGGCCCCATGAGTTGTCAGTCCGCCCCTGGTCCTATCTATCCCCTATGTCAGAGGTTTTTGGGGAGTCACCCCAGGGACTAAACACTTGGGATTACACTTTTTGTAATCATGTAGTATCTACCTGGACAAAGCATGCTAAGGTTCTTGTTGTGAATACCCTCTGATATGAGAGGCCTGGACTTACTGACATTGGAAGTGGGAGCTGATTTACTAAGTGATTCGCCAAAATATGAGATCAGAGAATTGACAATGAGATCCTTGAATACTTATAATGGTGATTTGCATGTTATGATCCTCCTTGGATTTTAACTCTCGCAAGGTGGATATGCACCTTCTCTGAAAATCTCCTGGGGTCCACTCTGCCTGGAGGACAATGACGGGTTATAATTATTTCATAGAAACGATTTTTAGGTTGGTTTCTGGATGTTAATAATTCTGCAAAAAGCCAGACTGAACGTAATCTTGAAGCTTTATTAACAAAACAGGGTGGGTGAAACTGCTGGGAAAAACAGATGAGAAATATGTACAATTAATGTGTGCAACATACAAACAAAAAGAAATGATTAGGTTGCGGATGGCAATAAGACCATGCTCACCAGCGATGCTGCCTGTAGGGGATGCAAGTTCAGTCCACGACCTTCTGCAGAGAATTGTGGCTGGTTCCTTTCCTTCAGTTCTTAAGATGGAGTCTGAGCTCCCAGGATGCACCTGTTTCCTTTTCTTAGCATAAAGGGTGATGGGAGCTTTTATTAATTAAACAGTTTCTGGTTTCTGAAAAACAGTGAATTCATTCCAGTCTCCACCATGTGGCCAAATTCAAAATTGCAGGGAAAATACATACAGTGCCTTGAAAAAGTATTCATGCCCCTTGAAATGTTCCACATTTTGTCATGTTACAACCAAAAATGTAAATGTATTTTATTGGGATTTTATGTGATAGACCAACACAAAGTGGCTCATAGTTGTGATTTTAGTTAGGGGTATCAGAGTAAAGGAGGCTGAATACAAATGCATGGCACACACAAAAACGCACCAGAACGTGTCAAAAACGCACATGCAGAAACGCATCCGGATTGTGTTTCTATAGTGTGAACCGGCCCTAAGGCTGTCTTCGGGTGCTGGAGTAGCTGATTGGTTATTATGGAACAACTATTCTTCTAGATTGTAAATTGTTAGCAATATGTTTCACGGAATGCAAATCATACCAATAAATATTGTTTAAAAAACCCTCTAAATTAGAGTTAACAAATACATTGGGTGAAAAATAACAGCATATTTTCAAAGCGTATTTTTTTTTTTTTCCTCAAAGACCTTTATTGAGCAGTGTGAATAAACAGTATAAAGTCCAGTGTACATCTCATAGAAACATCATATTTAGATTATGACACCATCAAAAAATGACGTATAAACAGATGTATGAACAGGCACATGGGCATATTATACAAGCAGGTAGCTCTAGCTGCTGACTTTTAAAAAACAGCCACTTACCTGTCCCTTGGTCCCGTGGTGTGTCCCCCGCAGCCCTTTCACTGGCCGTCCTGTATTCCAGGAGGCCGGCATCTTTAGTGTGGGCACCCGGCTGTGACAGCTTGCGGCTTCACAGCCGGGTACCCACTGCGCATGCGCGAGTAGCGCTGCGCTTCATGAATGGTCCTGTAGTCTTCTGGGACCTGTCATGTGTCCCAAAAGACTAAAGGGAGGGAGGACACCTTCTGCTTCCGGTCGCCTAGGCGATCAGACCGGAACTGGGAGCGGGTACCTGTCAAATTCGGGTACCCGCTCCCTCCCCGCCCCCCAGAGGTGCCAATCCTTAATGGAAGCGGGGGAGCAGTCCTTAATGCGGAACTTCCCCTTTTGGGTGGAGCTCCACTTTAATGACACCTAGGCATAACATTAGTCGGTCCATAATGAGATCTACTTGGACAAGGTCCAGAGTACCTAACCATGGTGCCCAGAGCTTATCAAATTTACCAAAACACATTCTGTGCTGATAGATATATTTTTCAATTCATAAGGTATCTCCCATCTGGGATATCCATTCTTTCTATGTAGGGGAATGGGTCAACCTGCAGTGAGTGTATTTTATTTTAAATTTATTAATAGTCTTTGTGAACAGCAAAGTACTGAAGTGCACCACCTTCCTGGAGTTTGCATGTTCTCCCTGTGCCTGCATAGGTTTCCCTTCAGGTACTCCGGTTTCCTCCCATACTCAAAAGACATGCTGGTAGGTTAATTGGCTCCTATCTAAATTGGCCCTAGTATGTGTATGTATGAATGTGAGTTAGGGACCTTAGATTGTACGCTCCTTGAGGGTTAGGGACTGATGTGAATGTACAATATATGTGTAAAGCGCTGTGTAAATTGATGGCGCTATAAAAGTACCTGGAATAAATAAATTAATTAATTAATTAAAATAATTGCACTTCCATGTTCTGTTTACTGTGGGAGACCAGATATAGTAAATGCAGGGTCCGGGGAGACCAGATATAGTGAATGCGGGGTCCAGGGTCCGGGGAGAGCGGATATAGTGAATGCAGGGTCCGGGAGAGCGGATATAGTGAATGCAGGGTCCGGGGAGACCAGATATAGTGAATGCAGGGTCCGGGGAGACCAGATATAGTGAATGCAGGGTCCAGGGAGAGCGGATATAGTGAATGCAGGGTCCAGGGAGACCAGATATAGTGAATGCAGGGTCCGGGGAGAGCGGATATAGTGAATGCAGGGTCCGGGGGGAGAGAGCGGATATAGTGAATGTGAATGCAGGGTCCAGGGAGAGCGGATATAGTGAATGCAGGGTCCGGGGAGAGCGGATATAGTGAATGCGGGGTCCGGGGTTTAGTAACACTTTAAGATACTCAGTGGTTCTGTGTCTGGTGCTGTGCTAACATCTAGTGCTAAGACTGTTTTCAAATAGTTTATAAGAAACTACAAGGATGAACATGATGTAAATCAGCAATGGCAGTGTCCATATTTTTATGTTAAAAGATTTTCTTTTATATAGATTGTAGTAATCATCTCTCTTGTGGTTTATGGTGCAGCACTGCCCCCTAGTGGATCACAAAAGAAGACATGCCTGATGTTTAGGGATCATCTAAAGACCTGGTTCACTCCGGTTCGACTTCAGGTGCAACATTCCATTTACAAATCACACCTCTAATGGAAGAATATTTGCTCCTTGTGAGCTTTATTTCACTAAAGCCCGACCAGACAGAGTGACACCTACTGATACAGTCATTTGCCAGACATGTGCACCTTTTGAATTTCTGTTTAAACACAGGGGCGTTCATGCTGTTGTAGTGACAGCCATCATTTCTGGTGAGTTTTTAATTCACAGGTAGACGGTCCAAAGACATGCTGGTAGGTAAATTGGCTCCTGTCTAAATTGGCCCTAGTATGTATATGTATGAATGTAAGATAGGGACCTTAGATTGTACACCCCTTGAGGGTTAGGGACTGATGTGAATGTACAATATACAGTATAGGTAAAGCTCTGCATAAATTGACAGCGCTATATAAGTACCTGCAATAAATAAATAACATAATAAATAAATCATAAATAAATAAACGGTGACAGCATCTCCTAGATTGTAAGCTCTAATGAGCCGGGCCCTCTGTTTCCTCTTGTTCCAAATTGTATTGTAACTGTAATGTCTATCTTCATTTTGTAAAGTGCTGAGCAAACTATTGGTGCTATATAAATCCTGTATAATAATCATTTGTGAATTACTTTACTGCAAGCAAGAGTACTTTATGATGGTGGATTGACATCATTAAGTTTTTTCACTGAACTTTTGACTCTATGAACGTTTAGTATATTTGTTTTTTGTATTTTGATTTTTGCCATGTGTCCCTGGATTACAGTATATGTTTTATTAGCTACACTATTTTATGATTGGTGCTACACTTGTATTTTTTTATGCACAATGATTTAGGTTCAGTATGCTACCTACCTATTGGTGTCAGCTGCCTTACACTTTTAAATTCAGCGCGGATATTGTTTTTTTTATTGTGCTTGTTTGCAATACATGTTCAGCTTAAAGTGGAACTACACCCAAAAGAGGAAGTTCTGCTTGTTTGCATCCTCCCCCCCCCACATTATGGGGGGGTGCTGATACCCGGTGTTAAGGATCCGCCAGGTGGTGCCTCTGGCAGCCCACTGGACAGGAATACCCAGAGCGTGGAGTCTAAGTCCCCGTCTGCGTGTTGACCAGGGCCCCTGATGGTGGGGATGGACTTGAAGCAGACCAGGACCAGGTCACGACCTCCGAGCAATCCCACCCGTGGCAGAGGGAACCTCCGGGGATGGATACAGGAGGAGAGCCAGATGTGAGGAGGCCGGCAGGCCCAGGCAGGATGGGATGGATGGATGGATGGACGGATCGTAGTCAAACTAGCCAGTTGTCACCGTGGGGGCAGCGAGGTACAGAATCGGCAGGCAAAGGATAGTCAGGTCACACGCAGGGTCAGTATTGGAATGGTCAGTCCGCAGAGAGGTCAAACAAGCCGGGGGTCAGGACAGGAGAAGGCAGCGTAGTTAGGGCAATCCAGGTCAAAAACAGGAGAAGGCAGCGTAGTCAGGGCAATCCGGGTCAAAATAACACAATCACAGGGGTACAGGAACTCTGGTAACAGGATAAGACCTTGCGGCGATTTGTGACAGCACAGGGCATCTTTAAATACCGAGCCCTGCGCTGTCATTGGCCGCCCAGCGTGTACTCGCGGCACCTACTGCTCATGCACGAGTCTCCCTCAGCCGCGGCCGGCTAGGACCTAGTGCCCGTATCCCGGTGCGAGCTGCCGAGACTGCGCATGCGCCGGACGAGACGCCGTGGCGGACCCTGACACCTGGTTTTGACATGTAACTGCTTCCATTTCTGGGTGAGATCGTTGCAGCGATCTGTGAATACGTTCAGCCCCTCCTCCTTCTGGGAATAAGTTCAGCCCCTCCTCCTTCTGGGAATAAGTTCAGCCCCTCCTTCTTCTGGGAATAAGTTCAGCCCCTCCTCTTTCTGGGAATAAGTTCAGCCCCTCCTCCTTCTGGGACACACAAGACTGCAGGACCATTCACCATTCACCATGCTTGTGCATGCGCCGTAGGAAACCTTTTGCGGAGCCGGAAGGCTTCACTGCCGGTTTCCCTTACCCAAGATGCCGGCGCCTGCACACAAAGCCAATTGAAGAATCGGCTTAGGTGAGGACATCGTTGAATATCTGAACAGGTAAGTGTCCTTATATTAGTATGTGTAGCTGTTGACTTTTAATTTTTGGGGGGGAGACTGGAGCTCCACTTTAATGATCAGAAGACAGATGCATCCCCTCACTGCCTTTGTCTCATGGGGTCCTGAATGAATATTCAGTTAGGCAGAGGCAGGCAAAAAATAACCATTGCTACATTTTTTTAACAGTAACTAATAAAACTAAACTGTAACAAATATATCAGAATGATACATCATTAACCACGTGCGCTCCGGAAGGTTTTACCCCTTTGCTGCTGCGCCATTTTTTGCTATTTAGCACTGCGATATTTAAACTGGTAATTGTGTGGTCATGCTACGCTGTACCCAAACTAAATTTCTATCTTTTCTTTTCACATAAATAGAGATTTCTTTTGGTGGTATCTGATCACCACTGTTTTTTTTATAGTTTTAATTATAGGTGTAAAAAAGAGAGAACATTTTGAAAAAAAAAAAACAGTATTTCTTTCTTTATGCTATAAAAACATATCTAATAACAAAATGTAAAAAAATCAAAGTTCGTTAAAATTTAGGTCAAAATGTATTCTGCTACATGTCTTTAGTAAGAATAAATCCCATTAAGTGCATATTAATTGGTTTGTATGGAAGTTATAACATTTACAAATGATGGTATTTATAACTGAAATTTTGTTGTTTACTAGTAATGGCAGAGATCAGCAACTTATAGAGGGACTATGATAGTGTGGCGGGCAATATGTCATTAACTGATGCTGGGTGGGAACTGACTAAGGGCTAGTTCACACTAGATGCAGTTCACACCAGATGCAGGCCAAGCTTCTTTAGCGGCTTGTTCACAACCGTTTGAACTGCTACCTCACCGACAACAACCTTCTTGATCCCCGACAGCCTGGCTTCCGCCCACAACACTCCACTGAAACTGCCATACTAAAACTCACTAATGACCTACTAACTGCTAAAACCAACGGCCATTACTCCATACTCATACTTCTTGACTTTTCTGCTCCCTTTGACACAGTCGACCCACCGGCTCCTCCTCAGTAAACTCCACTCCATCGGCCTCCATGACTCTGCTCTCTCCTGGTTCTCCTCTCTTACCTTGCTCAACGCACTTTCAGTGTCACATACAACTCCTCCTCCTCCGCTCCTCTTCCCCTTTCTGTTGGGGTACCCCAAGGTTCTGTTCTTGGGCCTTTTCTCTCTCTACACCTCCTCCCTGGGCCAACTGACAACCTCCCATGGCTTCCAATACCACCTCTATGCTGATGACACCCAGATCTATCTCTCCACTCCCCAGCTCACCCCCTCAATCTCCTAACGCATCACAAATCTACTAAGCGACATATCAGCATGGATGTCACATCACTACCTTAAACTCAATCTTTCAAAAACCGAGCTTGTAATATTTCCTCCCCCCCGATCCCCCACTCATGAATTTACCATCAAGATCAACAGCACAACCATTGGTCCTTCCCCTCATGCCAGGGTGCTAGGCGTACTCCTAGACTCTGACCTCTCCTTTGGGCCCCACATCCACTCACTGGCTAAACCCTGCCCTCAACCTCCGGAACATTTCCAAAATCCGCCCCTTCCTGACCAGTGACACCACAAAACAACTTATCCACGCCTGGTTTTATCCCGCCTTGACTACTGCAACTCCCTCCTCACTGGGCTACCATTACACAGGCTATCCCCCCTTCAGTCTATTATGAATGATGCTGCTAGACTCATACACCTGGAATGCATCTGGAGTGCATTTTTGTAGTGTGAACTTGCCCTAAATGACACTGACATCTCCAGTGACACTAATACAGTGATCGGTGCTAATAATATACACTGTCGCTGTACTAATGACACTGGTTGAGAAGCTGTTAACATTTAGGGGCAATCAAAGGGTTAACTGTGTGCCTAACAATGTGTACTGTGTTTACTGTGTGCTTTTTTCACTAAGCAATGTAATGGTTTTTACTCCCTGCTGTGCAGGGAGAAAAAAAAATGGCACTTCTCTGCTGTCTGTAGAAAACCTATGTTGTTTACCAACACAGGGCTCTCTTCTGTCATTCACTCAGGCAATCAGTGAGCCTCAGCCATAAATCATTGGCTGGGGCCCTGATTGGCATGTGCTGGAGTGAATATCAGTACAGCCAGGGCAGTGGGCACGCACATGCCCCCCTACCCAGAAGAGCTGGATCACGTACATGTATGTGATCCAGAACAGTGGGGCTGCTCTGCCGCAGTATATCTGCTGTTAGTGGTCACCAACTGGTTAAACATCAAGTGTGTCACCTACTCTTCAATTAACCTGTGCTTTACCCCTGAAGGGCAGACTTTGGAAGAGAAGCGGTTTTACCTTAAAACTTGTGAAGGATCCTTTACTGTCAAAGCAGTAGGATGTGGAACTCCCTTCCACAGTTGGTGGTGTTAGCAGGAAGTGTCAATAATTTATAAAAACTCTTAGAAAGGCTTTTTAGTGAACGCAATATACAGTAATATAGAAAATGGTATTGACTTCAGAGAGAGATATCATTTCCCCCGGTACAAATCATTAGTATCACCTCATCTGGAATATGCAGTTCAGTTTTGGGAACCAATTCACAAAAAGAACATTAGGGAACTGGAGAAA